TATCTTTTATAAGCATTTTACGTAAAATTACTAAATATGAGAAACAACGTTATTACCAACTTTATAAATATTTACATGCAAACTATGTTAAAACACAACGGTTTTCATTCTCAACTAAACATACATTTTAAACTATAATAGGTATAGTTTGGGGAACATTCACATTATTCTACCCTTTCGGGGCAAATGAACGATTATATAAAAATACGATTATTTTTATATTTTATAAACATAACAAAAAGGGGTAAAAATTACACACATGAATACTTTCAGTTCGAAAACAGGTAAACTCGTTGGATAAGGTTGTGAGTCAATGTCTTCGTCTTACCTACCAAGGTATACAAGCAAGTCCTGTATTATAACCCGAGTCTTCTTCCGGTGAACGTGATAATTGTGTATAGATCTATACGGGATTGATGACCCCGCACCCTGGCTAATAGCTACAGCCAAACTGGCAGGTTATGGGTGACAAATATCAAACAGTGCGACGCCTGAAGAACGTCGAGACAGACAAATCATTCGCTAGCACGGTTATGAAAACTCACATGGGATAAACGACTATACATGGATTTTTACGTAAAAACACATCTCTTCAAATGGTTTTATATACAAATAAAACTAGTCATAACTATTTTAAGTATTGATAATACTTGTACTTTCCGGTCTTGGAGCATATTAGACTACAGTTCAGTTTTATAGAAAATATGGGATTTTTCGGGATAAACACAATTACTTTACAAGTAAACAGCTCACAGTTCAGTTTTATGGAAAATATAGGATTTTCCGGGATAAACACAATTACTTTACAGGCAAACAGCTCACAATTCAGTTTTATGGAAAAATATAGGATTTTCTGGATAAACTCACTTACGTTTTTAAGGAACAAAGATCATACTTTTACATACCAAATGCTTATGAACTCACCAACTTAAATGTTGATACACTTTCAAAATCAATTGTATTCTCAGGAAAACCAGTAGTCAGGTACATGCACAGATTTTGTGAAGACGGAGCATAGCAGCGTTACGTCTTAGTTTTTGCTTTATACTTTTGGAGTCAATCAATCTATGTTATGAACACAATGTAAACACTTTATTATCAATGTAATGGTTGTTGTTGCTTTGATTACTATTATACATTTGTTGTGATACTGTACATGACGTCCTCCGCCCCCGAACGTTTCCGCCGTTTAGGTTTAGGGGTGTGACAGAGGGCATATTAGGAAGATCACTTTTGTAAATTTTTGGGAGGAAAAAAAATTTAGAGAGGAGCTGATCAATTGACACGTAGCTATAATACTACTCTTTTATTAGAGTAGGATGTACAACATAAAAGGTAAAACTAACATGGTACACCTTATGCTTAATCAAATACAAATCAATGCTAGTTTTTTTTAAAGAATGATAGTGGGTACCACGTGTAAGACTCCCTTTTATAAGACCACATAAATGGGTAGGATCCGTCCGATCTCACGTTCGAAACAACCCATTTAGGGTTCGCTCGTCATTTTCTAAAAACGCAAAAAATTAGTTTTATTTATTTATTTATTTTATGATTTTATGATATACTAACAAATAAATTATCATTTTTGTTAATATCCCCTTTTTTTTTTTTTTTTTTTTTTTTTTTTTTTTTTTTTGTTAGTTAACCATATATTCATAAAAAAAACAATTTCCAAATATCCAAATTACGTGACGAATAGTGAAGTATTGCGCGTTAGCGTGACAAACACAGGCGACTTCTCCTCAACATGAAAGTTAAGATGACGATCGACAGTTGAACAAACATCGCATTTGATCTCTCCCTTTGACTTTTGACCTTTGAATTCACGATCATCATCTTCTCCATTTGCCCCCCTCCATAATTTTATGCCAATCTTTGCAGAAAACCTATACCCCATTATCTCTGCATAATTTTCCATTCATTCACCCAACACAACAAATGAAAACTCCCTTTAAAAAACTGCGTGGGTTAGGGCTACACAGGCATAATACTCATCGACCTCCCGCTCAGTTGGATGAGCTTTCGCAGGCTTCCCAGGTTTAATTTCTATTTTCCCTTTCCGTAGATAGGAATTTCAAACCAACAAAATTGGATTTTGAGGGTAATTTCCGTTTTCCCCTCACAATTCGTTTTTAGGTTTTTATCAATTGATTTTCCAAAGGGGCGAGTTTTTAGTGCTCGTCGATCATAAATTTATGCTAGGCTTTTTGTAATTAAATTAGATCTTATTCAGACTTGATATTGACTTTCAGTCAACGGCTTCATCGATTATCTTAGTCTATGCTCAAAGCAAAAATTAGGAACAGCCTTTTTAAGATCAAAATCTCCTATCGTAAATTCGCGAAGCAAACGTATAATTGCGATTGTAGATTATTATGATTTCTTTACTATTTTTGTGTTTTGCAGGACATGCATGACATGAAAGATTGCTATGACAGTTTACTTTCTGCAGCAGCAGCCACAGCGAACAGTGCTTACGGTATTTGACTGACACCTTTTCTGAACAAATAAAAATTATGCGTGGATTGATACATGATGCTGATAATCTGTTTCAGAGTTCTCGGAATCACTACGGGATATGGGAGATTGTCTTCTCGAGAAAACTTCATTAAACGATGATGAAGACAGCGGTGAGTTTGAAGCTTATGAGTTTCATTTCATTCTAAAACCCTAAACCCAATGATTTTGCAGGTAGAGTCTTGCTAATGCTGGGAAAGGTGCAGTTTGAAATCCAGAAGCTGGTGGATAATTATGTGAGTTGCTATTTCATTTTTAATTTTCAAGTTATATAGTAGTAGCACCACACATTTAGTGACGGCTGCAAGATGTTCCTTTTTCAGCGTGCACATATTTCTCGCACAATCACAGCCCCTTCAGAGTCCCTTCTCAGTGAATTGCGTGTTGTTGAGGTATGTAGTTGTAGTTGATTTTTTATGACATGAAAAGGGTAGCTTACTGTGATGAATGCTGATGATTGTTGTTTCAGGACATGAAAAGGCAATGCGACGAGAAGAGGTCTGATTCTGAAACTTATTCATTCAAGTTGAAATTTTGTCAAAAGAAAAAGAATGTATAGTAAGCTATTGGTATTGTATGGATAATAATTGTACCAGGATGACGTATGATGAGATGAAAATACGACACAAAGACAAGAGAAAATCAGGAGGAGGAGAATACGTGTCTTCCCATCAGCTGCGAGCAGCTCAAGAAGAATTTGATGAGGACGCCACTTTATTTGTTTTCCGCATGAAGTCTTTAAAAAAGGGTCAGTCCCGTAGTCTTCTAACACAGGCTGCTCGCCACCATGCTGCTCAGATGTGTTTTTTCAGGAAGTCTCTCAGATCTCTTGAAGCGATCGAGCCTCATGTTATGTTAGTAACCCAACAGCAGCATATCGATTACCAGTTCAGCGGGCTTGAAGAAGACGACGATGATGATGACAGAAACTCTGTTTTTCTTACTGATGATGACACTGAAGATGATAGCGAAGTAGACATGCATCAAGATGGTGAATTGAGCTTTGAGTACCAGAGGGGCGATCCGAAAAATGAAGCTTCTAGCTCAGAAAACTCCATGGAGGTGAATCTGATGCTCTCTAATCAGGCTGTTGTTGGTTCGTTGGTTTTTTTTTCTCTCTCTCTCTCTCTCTCTCACACCAAACTTGTTTGTTTGTTTTTCTTTCTACAATACACAGTTGGATAGCGCAGCAGACATTACCTTTCCACAAGTTGCAGTGAAGGCAAACATGGAGGAGCAGAGGAAACCCCTATGGAACTCATCTACATTTGGTGTAGAGGTGAATGCAGGCAGCAAATGCAAATCAGCACCACTTTCTGCTTCTGCTGCGAGCAGTAATATGAATATGGAGCGGGACCCAAGACAGATGAGGCAGTCATCTGCTCGAAAGCTGAATACATATGTTCTCCCAACGCCAACGCCACAAAAAACAAATAATAATAAGAATAATTTGTGGCATTCATCACCTTTAGTATCCAGCAGCAGCTCAGGACCAATTCATCCATCAAACGCACAATCAGTACTCAGCAAACCCACTCCACTACCCTCTCCAACAGCAAGTCAAATTGAGCATCATCCAAGTGTTAGTGCCAAAAAAATCAAAAGATATGCTTTCTCTGGTCCTTTGGCTGGAAGTAGTAGTAGTAGTAGAAACAAGGCTCCTTTATCTGCGACTGTGAGTGGTCCTATTCCTATCACACGCACACCATTGGCCTCAACCACAAAACTATCCGGTGGTAATACTAATAGCAACAGCTTTGTTTCATCACCTAAAATCAGTGAACTCCATGAGCTCCCCAGACCTCCTGCAAACTTAGCCTCTATCAAAGTCAAACCACCTTTAAAACCTGCCTTCTCTGCTCCTTTGGTTACAATTACAAACAAGCCCCTTGGCCTCCATGCATCTTCTCAACGAATGCTTTCACCTTCGCCTCCTCAGACACCCGTCTCCATCTCCATAAGGAACAGCTAAGCTAGTCGCTGTGTTATTACTTATATATAGCATATAGGTACTTCATCTTTCTTTCCTTTGCAAATCTATACATGATCAAACTGTGGATATATATATTTTTGACTTATATGTAATTCATTTATGGAGTATTATAAAAGCCCTGATTTAAGTTTGGTAGTATTTTGCCATCTCGCTTTTTCTTGAGATATATATAATACTAATAGAGTGTGCAAAGATGAAAACGGAAGATGATTGATTGATTGGAGCAAATGTTGCAACTGTTTGTGTAGTCAACTGTGAACCTACATCTTTTACAATTTTGAAAAAGGAAAAAAAAAAAAAACATTTAGATTTAGCAGTAAAAATGTAAAGTCCTAGATAAAGCGACGCATGGGCCAGCCTGGTTGATCGCGTAGCGGCTTCATGACACAGTATCCGGCGGCGGTGGAAGAAGAAGAAGGAAGACGGTGATGGAAACATCTTCTGCGGAGGTTGTTGTGGTTCCTGAGAATACAAGGGGAGTTGATCCTGTGGTTTAGTCTTACAGGAATTGGCATTGCATCGAGTCCCATTAGCCTACCCACGGCACCCGGTGTGCACCAGATCACCCTCTCCCCTGCAACTTTTGCAGGCAAACAGCTTCTCAGATCCACTGCTACGGATGTTGGGTTTCGAAAGGAAGATCGATACATGGCATCCTTCCCATCAAGAGAAAACCTCGGGTACTGATTCAGTGCGTTTCGGGCACACCGTAAGATGTCTGAGCTGTTGACACACGACATCCTATGCTGCTGCACATCCCCATCCCCATCCTCTTCTTGTAGCTTTGCTCTTGCTGCCATTTTCTCCTCCAAGTCCAACCGCATGATCATCTCCTCCAGTGTCGCCTGCTGCTGGCTGTTTGCGGCCGCCATGGGTGGAGACTTTTGCTGCTTCAGAGTGGAGGTGGAGGTGTCCCCCGTGCACAGGTTCTTCAACCCCTTGTTCATCTTCAAACCAAGGGAGTTGTGGAGGCCAAGGAACGACAGGTCTTTCATCACAATGGAGGTAGAGGTGCTGTTGTTGACTGTTGAGATATAGATACATTGGTTGGAAAGATATTAAGGCAATCACATGAGACGGAGTAAAGAGGAAGGGAGGAGGGTTCACAAGATGTTTGCATGGAATTACTGATTTCACAATTACTAACCAACCAACCAACCAACCAACCATGTAAATACAATTCATGTTTTGCTAAATCTTTGTTGGAAAAATACTACCACCAATTAAGGAACTGAAAATAATCACAACCGATTGGATTAAAACCCAACTATAAGTTACTAGAACTAGGATCGGATAACATCTAGAAAAATGGTAACAGCCGTTAGAATAAATTTTCGTCATATTCAGTTGAATTTATCATATAAAATATTATGAGACGATGACATGATATTTGGTAATTGTTTGCGACATTTTGAAATTATACAAAAGATGTAAGAGTAAATTACATGAATGGTCCTTATGATTTAGGGTAATTTGCATGTTTGGTCCCTAACTTTTTTTTTTTAACTCGGAAGGTCTCTATTGTTTGTTTTTGTTACGTGTTTGGTCCCTATCTTACCTAAAAAACTATTTTGCCCTTGATTATTTTAAATTTATTTAAATAAACACACCCCCAACCCCATCTCACTCACCTTAGCTTACATACCCCACCATTTTTCCTATTTAAATAATAGTCTTCTTAGGTAAAAGAGGGACCAAACGCGTAACAAAAACAAACAGTAGGGACCAAGCACGTAACAAAAATAAACAGTAAAGACTTTCCGAGTTAAAAAAATAAGTTAGGGACAAAACGTGCAAATTACCCCAAACCATAGGGACCATTCTTATAATTTACTCAAGATGTAAAATGTTTAAAGGGTAAAAAAATCAAATATTTTAGGCTACTATGCACTCCAGCCCACTTTCAATGCTACATGTTAGCTTTGTTAACTCATTGTTTTTTTTTTCCAGGGAAATCTTCGAAAAAGTTCCAATATTTTATCCTAATTTACAAAAAAGTCTCAAACTAAAATTTGTTTACGAAAAAGTCTCAATTACCGGTAAAAACGACGATTTGGCCATATTTTTCCGGTTTACCGGTTTCATTACTTACCCGGTTTTAATAAAGTCCCATTATTTTACAATAATTT